ATTTTGCAGTGTGTTCACATACAGTCTTTTTGAAGAACTCCCATTTCTGTGTTGTGTTCATCGATGCCAATATTCCCTCCCAGTCTAAGTCTTGGAGAGCGGCTCTCAGCCTTAGAAAATTATCTCTCTTAAAATTTTTATTTTTCCTGTATGTGCTCACTGTTTACAGCTAACAATAATTGAAATCATGTTATGGTCACTGTTACCCAGATGTTATTTTATGTGGACATTCGTAATAAGCTCTGCATGGTTTGAGATTACCAGGTCCAGCAGAGCATCATTCCTAGTTGGGGCCTCTATAAACTGTACCATAAAATTGTCCTGTAGTAGGTTTAAAAATGTTTGCCCTTCAACTGTTCCTGCAATACAAAATAATAAAATGAGAATGCAGCGCTAAGATGTACAGATAAAAATGCATAAATAAGTAGAAGTCTTAAAGGTAATAATCAAAAAGGTGCAATGTGATAATCGTGGTTCACTAGATGGCTGTTGAGTTATCGTGACTTCCGTGGCTTGGGAAGAATGAGTATACAATGCACTAACCAGATAGCACAAAGTTATGTGCGTTGGAGTAAATAAGACCTACTCCAAAGGGCCCTGTGAAAATGTGTTATTACACGAAACGCGTCAGAGAGACTCCCCTGTCAATGGATTACTGACTTGCCATACTCTGCTTTATTCATGGATGTAAGTGTCCGTTTTTTACTGTGTTTTTTGATTGTTACTCCCCATATTTAATAAATACTACACTATTGGAGCTTTTTTCTCTTTTCTGGGCTCATTTTTTGGGATACTCTGAGCCCCCCTTCCTTCAAGGTGCACCATAGTAGGCGACTCACACTTAAGTGTATCATTCCCCCGGTGGCTGAAATCGGTACTACAAGATGCATCCAATCTGATGAATATACATTATACTGGAAAGAGGAAATCTGCCCTGGTCTGATGACATCTAGCGACTCAACTCCACCTGACGACTTCACCTGTTTTCAGAGTTCCCGCTTCCAGAGCACCTTGGAGTAGGTCTTATTTACTCCAACGCACATAATTTTGTGCTATCTGGTTAGTGCATTGTATACTCATTCTTCACAAGCCACGGAAGTCACGATAACTCAACAGCCATCTAGTGAACCACGATTATCACATTGCACCTTTTTGATTATTACCTTTAAGACTTCTACTTATTTATGCATTTTTATCTGTACATCTTAGCGCTGCATTCTCATTTGATTATTTTGTATATTATTGGAGGATTCAATGTATTCCCTCTTTTTTTGCTGGCTGCTTATTTTGCTTGATGTTTTACACTATACTCAGCGCTCGCATATCACTGTTTCACATTGTTCCTGCAATACCATTACTCTAGTCAATTTCCGGGTAGTTAAAATCTCCCATTATTATCACTGTCACAGCCCTTGCAGCCCTCCTGTGCAAGGATCTGAGTCTCCGCCTCCTCATTAACACTGGGAGGCCTATAACAAACTCCAATGAATACCTTTGTAGCACGCACCCCCATGTGCAGTTTCACCCATAATGCTTCAGGCTCATCACACTCTCCATCAACTATGTCCTCTTTCACACTTGCTCTGAGATCACTTCTCACATAAAGACAAACACCACCACCTTTCCTATTTACTCTGTCTCTCCGAAAGAGAACATAGCCAGTCATGTGAAGAATGAAGCCACGATTCAGAAATACCAATTCAATCATAGTTTTCTTCATGCACCAAAACTTCCAACGCACCTACTTTGCTTGGCAGACTTCTGGCATTGGTGAACAAACACTTTAATTCATTGACACCTTGTTCACACGTAGTTTTCATATTTTTTATTTTCATACAAATGGTACCAATACCACTGGTTGTTTGTAACATGGGAACCTTCTTATCATCTGCCATAGCCCTCCCCCCATCTTTCCCCATTCCACCCACCAATAAATACTGACCTCTGTCTGATCTAACTACCCCATTATAGTCTAATTCTCCCTCCCCCCTCGATCCTAGTTTAAATACTTCTCCAGCCTCCCCATAAACCTCTCCCCCAGCACAGCAGATCCCCTTCCATTTAGGTGCAGACCATCTCTAGCACCCCAATGAAAAGTCAGCCCAGTGCTCTAGAAACCCAAATACTTCCCTCTTACACCAGGTCTTCAGCCATGCATTGAGTTCTCTAATCTCCCCCTGTCTTTCCTGAGTTGAGCATGGCACAGGTAATATTTCAGAGAATATCACCTTGGAGCTCCTTACCTTCAACTTGCAGCCTAGTTCTTTAAATTGATTCTTAAGGAGCCTCCACCTTCCATGTAGTCTGTCATTGGTTCCAACATGAACCAAGACAGCTGGGTCATGCCCAGTCCCTCCCAGTAATTTATCAACCTGGTCCACCACATGCCGAACCCTGGCACCAGGGAGACAGCAAACCATTCGGATGAGGCAATCCTGGCGACAAATTATTCTGTCTAGGCCTTCCTGCACTATCCTCACCACCCCTTCCAGATAGACTGCCCTCCTGACTGTTAGGGATAGCAGTGACATCCAGGGCTGCCATACATACACACACACACATTATATATATATATATATATATATATATATATATATATACACATACAGTATCTCCCAGAAGTGAGCCCACCCCTCACATTTTTGTAAATATTTGATTCTCTCTTTTCATGTGACAACACTGAAGAAATGACACTTTGCTACAATGTGACGTAGTCAGTGTACAGCTTGTATAACATGTAAATTTGCTGTCTCCTCAAAATACCTCAACACACACCGCCATTAATGTCTAAACCGCTGGCAACAAAAGTGAGTTCATCCCTAAGTGACAAGGTCTAAATTGGGCCCAATTTGCTATTTTCCCTCCCGGGTGTCATGTGACTCGTTAGTGTTACAAGGTCTCAGGTGTGAATGGGGAGCGGGTGTGTTACATTTGGTGTTATCGCTCTCACTCTCTCATACTGGTCACTGGAAGTTCAACATGGCACCTCATGGCAAAGAACACTCTGAGGATCTGAAAAAAAGAATTGTTACTCTACATAAAGATGGCCTAGGCTATAAAAAGATTGCCAAGATCCTGAAACTGAGCTGCAGCACAGTGGCCAAGACCATACAGCGGTTTAACAGGACAGGTACCACTCAGAACAGGCCTCGCCATGGTCCACCAAAGAAGTGAAGTGCACGTGCTCAGCGTCATATCCAGAGGTTGTCTTTGGGAAATAGAAATATGAGTGCTGCCAGCATTGCTGCAGAGGTTGAAGGGGTGGGGGGTCAGCCTGTCAGTGCTCAGACCATACGCCGCACACTTCCGTTAGTGTTAGCGCCCCTCCCAGATAGTGCCAGATTGCCCGCTAATACACCAGTAATCCCGTCTAACCACCCCTTGATCACCCCCCCCTGAGTTGACCCCTTCACTGCCCTGTCACCAGTGTCACTGATCAGTGAACCAATTTTTACTGATCACTGTATCAGTGTCGCTGGCGACTTCCAATAGTGTTAGCGCCCCTCCCAGATAGCGCCAGTTTGCCCGCCAGTACATCAGTAATCCCATTTAACCCCTTGATCGCCCCCCCCAGTTAACCCCTTCACTGCCTTGTCACCAGTGTCATTGATTACAGTGAACAGATTTTTACTGATCACTGTATTAGTGCCATTGGTGACTTCCGATAGTTTTAGCGCCCCTCCCAGATAGCGCCAGTTTGCCCGCTAGTACACAAATAATCACATTTGACCCCCTGATTGCCAGGAACACGCTTACATTTTGGCTTAAATTTATGACTAACTTTGAGTTTACGATATATTTTTTATAGCTGAAAGTAGAAAATATTGTTTTTTTTTCAACATTTTCGTGTTTTTTTTTTGTTTATAGCGCAGAAAATAAAAAGCACACAGGTGATCAAATACCACCAAAAGAAAGCTCTATTTGTGTGAAAAAAAGGACGTAAATTTCGTTTGGGTACAGCATTGCATGACCGCGCAATTATCATTTGAATTAGTGCAGCGCTGTATAGCAAAAAAAGGCATAAATTACAGTATCTATACCATAGTTTGTAGACGCTATAACTTTCACACAAAGCAATCACTATACACTTATTGGGATTTTTTTTACCAAAAACATGTAGCAGAATACATTTTGGCTTAAATTTATGACTAACTTTGAGTTTACGATATATTTTTTATAGCTGAAAGTAGAAAATATTGTTTTTTTTTCAAAATTTTCGTGTTTTTTTTTTTGTTTATAGCGCAGAAAATAAAAAGTGCACAGGTGATCAAATACCACCAAAAGAAAGCTCTATTTGTATGAAAAAAAGGACGTAAATTTTGTTTGGGTACAGCATTGCATGACCGCGCAATTATCATTTGAATTAGTGCAGCGCCAAACAGCAAAAAAAGGCCTGGTCATTAAGCGATAGCATCTACAAATGGCGGTATAGATACTTGAATTTTTTTTTTATACTAGTAATGGCATTCTGACTTTGGGGGGGAACTGTCACTGACATCCCCAGTGACACCGATACAGTGATCAGTGCTAATAAAAAGCACTGACACTGTACTAATGGCACTGGGCAGGAAGGGGTTAACATCTGGGGGGGGGGGGTGTTTCAAAGGGTTAACTGTGTGTGCTTTACTGTGTAAGCATGCTGCTTTGTATTGCTCTGCTATGCTATGCGGGGAATCACCAGCCAGGACCCGGTGATCAATAGCTGAAGCTGCAAATGGCAATGCGGGTAGGGCGTCCCCTACCTGGAAATGAAAAATCACGTATAAATACGTGATTTTGCGCAGCCCTGCCGCCCTGTAGCAGTATTTCTGCTATAGAGAAGCGGGAAAGTGGTTAATTAGTCTTTTGATGCAATAGCAGCTCACAAGGGTTTGGCAACTTTAACCGAAGGGATTTTAACAGGCTGAAAGCTCTGGGCCAAGGACTACCAGTGCTGGGTTTCCAGGGCCGAAAACCACAGTGCCCTGACATGGTGACACCTCAGCTGGGTGCGTATTTACATGTTTAATAAGGTCTGCTTTATTCCTGTAACATTTTCCACATTCCGAACAAGAATGGGGTTTTTCGGCCGTATGAGTCCTCCAGTGCATGGTGAGATCCGATTTCTGTATAAAACTTTTCCCGCATTCTGAGCAAGAAAATGGTTTCTCCCCCGTGTGAACTTTTTCATGGGTGAGCAAAGATGATTTCGAGTAAAAACATTTGCCACATTCGGAGCAGGAGAACGGCTTCACCCCGGTGTGGCTTCTCTGGTGTAAAGTAAGGTGGGTTCTCTGGGTAAAAGATTTCCCACATTCCGGACACAGAAATGGTTTCTCTCCCGTATGAATCCTCCGATGCCTCATAAAAGCTTCTCCCCTTGAGAAATTTTTTTCCGCATTCGGAGCATGAATATGGCTTCTCACCAGTGTGGATTCTCCGGTGCCTAATGAAGGCTTCCCTCCTGGCAAAACATTTCCCGCAATCTGAACAGGAATACGGCTTTTCATTGGTGTGAATCCTCTGATGTATGTTGAGCTGGCTCTTCCTAGAGAAGCATTTGTCGCACTCTGAACAAGGATATATGTTCTCCCCCGTGTGAGTTCTCTTATGCTCGGCAAGGCCTGATTTGTGCCTAAAACATTTCCCACATTCCGAGCAAGAAAACGGCTTTTCGCCAGTGTGGATCCTCTGGTGTGCGAGAAGATTAACCTTCCCAGACAGACATTTGCCACATTCAGAACATGTATATGGCTTCTCAGGCACATGTGACTGCTGACGAAAAGCAAGTCCTGCTTCCTGAGTAATACCTTCCCCAGACACTGGATATGGGGATGTCTCATTGCCTCCATGAGCTGCCTGATGAGTGACAGGATGGGGGTGACCATGGAAATCAAAAGAGAGATGCATTTCCTCTAAATAATTGGTTGTTATGTCATCATCCTCTATTTCACCAACTGAAGAGAGCATGGAAAGCTTGTCCTTATTGCCCCCTCTGTACGGTTCATCTGGGGGAAAAAAGAAAGTAAAGAATCTTTGATTAACTCCTGTCTATTAAAACAGCAAGATACTATATTACCCAATTTAAAAAATCTGTATTTTTTGCTAGAAAATGACTTACAACCCCCAAACATTATATATTTTTCTAAAGCAGGGGCCTTAGAGAATAAAATGGTGGGTGTTGGCATCAGGACAGGGATGCTTTAACTGGTTCTGTGCCACCCTAGAACAGAAATACTGTTACAGGGTGGCAAGGTGCGCAAAATCACGTATATATACATGTGATTTTGCAGTTCCGGGTAGTCAATCACCGCGGCCCGGGTCCTGGACAGTGAATACGCGCCGGCACCCAATGATCGCCAAGTATGTCCGACGGGGGAGAGGCCTGTGTATAAGCAACACAGATCTATTCCCTGTCAGCTCCTGCACACTGCTTTGTATTGGACAGTGCTGTTGTTTGTGATGTGCCTTTGACATTTATGTCAATTGTGAGTACGATACCTATTTTTTATTATTTCAATAAATGTTTTTTACGATAATGCACTAGGCTGGTGCACCCTCTGTTTGTTTTCTTTATATACACTGCTTTGTATGGCTCTGCATAGCACAGCTATGCAAAGCAGTGTGCTTACAGTGGAAAGCAGACACAGCACACAGTTAACCCTTTGATCGCCCCACATGTTAACCCCTTCCTACGCAGTGCCATTAGTACAGTGTCAGTGCTTTTTATTAGCACTGATCACTGTATTGGTGTCACTGGGGATGTCAGTGACACCAAGTCAGTTCCCCCACAGTGTCAAAATGCCCACCGCAGTCCTGCTATAAGGTCGCTGATCGCTGCCATTACTAGTAAAAAAAAAAAATTCTAGTATATATACCGCCATTTTGTAAATGCTATAACTTTCACGTAAACCAATTAATTTACACGTATTGGGATTTTATTTTACCGCAGACATGGAGCAGAATACATTTTGACCTAAATCTATGCTGAAATTTGATTTTTAAAATTTTTTTACTGGACATGTTTAAGAGCAAAAAGTCAAAAATTGTTTTTTTTTTCTTAAAATTGTCGGTCTTTTTTTGTTTATAGCACAAAAAATAAAAACCGCACAGGCGATCAAATACCACTGAAAGAAAGCTCTATTTGGGGGAAAAAAAGGACGTAAATTTTATTTGGGTGCAGAATTGCATGACTGCGCAATTGTCAGTTAAAGTAATGCAGCGCCGTATCACAAAAAATGGCCTGGTCAGGAAGGGGGGAGGGAATCCTCTGTAGGTCAAGTGGTTAATTTGTTTTTTATACTTTTTGTTTTTTAATTATCACAGAGAATATAAATATCCCCTGTGATACTGTCACGGTATAGGGGCCCCTGCCAATTATTGATTTTGCCTAATCCCCTTATTAATTTCCTGTACCAAACATCCCTCAGAATCAATCACTGTATGTCCTCTGTGTCACCCTGCCAAATGGCCAAATTCGATTACTTCCCCCCTCCCTGCCAGTTTGCTACATGTCCCCAAATTGCATTAAATAATTTCCTGCACCAGGTCCTTCTGATGTCACCAGGGGGCCCAGTGTCATCCTGGCCCCCCTCACTGTGTCCCCTGTCTCCAAGCATGATTTCTCCCTGTTGTCCATTGACCCCCCTCTACTTCTCATCCTGCTGCAGATGGACAGGAGGTGCGGCTTTCATCACCCCTGCCACTATCTTCTCCCCCTCCGACTTGGCCGGAAAGGAGAAGGTGGCGAGGTTCACACCTCTCCGTGGAGAAGAGCAAACCTCCTGCAGGGATGTTCCTGGCTGCGGAGTCTCACTGATGCCACCCCAGCCCTGTCATCCGCAGTGCGGGCACGGGAAGTTCCCTGGACAAAGGTCGTGCTCATGAGAAGCGCGGCCCGTGTCCAGGGGGCGTGCCTCGTTGAACTCCAGCCCGCCCCGGTTACCAAGATGACCAGGGAGCGTCCTGCATCAGCTTAAGAAGCTGATTCCGGGCGCTCCGGTTATCTTCTCCATCTTCTCCGCTGCGCAGCCAAAGGAGGGAGCCCAGCTGCGGCGGGACCCTCGTGGTTAGACTCTGCCAAGACCCCCAGCCAAGGGGGGGGGGGGAACCACACCCAAGCCTGCCTGAGACCCCAATCCAGAAGATTGCCTGCCAGTGCCTGAGACCCCCAGTCCAGGGGGATTGCCTACCAATGCCTGAAACCCCAGTCCAAGGGGATTGCCTTCCAGCTTCCTATACAGTTAGGTCCATATATATTTGGACCAAGGCACAATTTTAGTTTTTTTCAGGTATACAAAACATATTCAAGCTATAGTTCTATAATGGATATGGGCGGACACTGTGCACTCTCAGGTGTAATTTGAGGGTAAGTACATCCAAATTAGAGGAAGGGTTTAGGAATTACAGCTCTTAAGAGTAGCCACCCCCCCTTTTTCAAGGAACCAAAAGTAATTGGACAATTGAATCAAAAACTGTTTCATGGCCAGGTGTGGGCTACTCCATTATTTCTTCATCAATTAAGCAGATAAAAGGTCTGGAGTTGATTCTAATTGTGGTATTTGCATTTGGAATCTATTGCTGTGAACCATCATGCATTCAAAAGAAGCTGTCCATGCAAGTGAAACAGGCCATTGTAAGGCTTCAAAAATTAAACAAATCCATCAGAGATCGCAGAAACATTAGAAGTAGCCAAATCAACAGTTTGGTACATTCTGAGGAAAGAAGAACGCACTGGTGAGCTCAGCAACATAAAAAGGCATGGATGTCCATGGGAGACAACAGTGGTGGATGAACGCAGGATCCTCTCTATGGTAAAAAAAACAAAACATTCACAACATCCAGACAAGTGAAGGACACCCTCCAGGAGGTGGGCGTATCATTGTCAAAGTCTACAATCAAGAGAAGACTTCATGAGAGCAAATACAGAGGGTTCACCACAAGGTGCAAACCATTTATAAGCCTGAAGAATAGAAAAGCCAGATTTGACTTTGCCGAAAAATATCTAAAAAAGCCAGACCAGTTCTGGAAAAGCATTCTTTGGGCGGATGAAACTAAGATGAATCTGTACCAGAATGATGGGAAGAAAAAAGTGTGGAGAAGGCTTGGAACAGCTCATGATCCAAAGCACACAACGTCCTCTTTAAAACATGGTGGAGGCAGTATGATGGCATGGGCATGCATGGCTTCCAGTGGCACTGGGTCATTGGTGTTTATTGATGATGTGACAGAAGACAGAAGCAGCCGGATGAATTCTGCCGTGTTTACGGTTACTATTAGCCCAGATTCAGCCAAATGCAGCAAAGGTGATTAGATGGTGCTTCACAATACAGATGGACAATGATCCAAAACACACTGCAAAAGCAACCCAGGAGTGGAATATTCTGCAATGGCCGAGTCAGTCACCTGATCTCAACCCAATTGAGCATGCATTTCACTTGCTGAAGGCAAGACTAAAGGCAGAAAGACCCACAAACAAAGAACAACTGAAGACAGATGCAGTTAGAGCTTGGCAAAGCATCAGAAAGGAGGAAACCCAGTATTTGGTCATGTCCATGGGTTCCAGACTTCAGGCAAAGCATCAGAAAGGAGGAATCCTAGTCTTTGGTAATGTCCATGGGTTCCAGACTTCAGGCAAAGCATCAGAAAGGAGGAAACCCAGTCTTTGGTAATGTCCATGGGTTCCAGACTTCAGGCAAAGCATCAGAAAGGAGGAAACCCAGTCTTTGGTAATGACATGGATTCCAGACTTCAGGCAAAGCATCAGAAAGGAGGAAACCCAGTCTTTGGTCATGTCCATGGGTTCCAGATTTCAGGCAGTCATTGCCAGTAAAGGATTCTCAACAAGATATTAAAAATGAACATTTTATTTATGGATTATAATCATTTGTCCAATTACATTTGAGCCCCTGAAAATTGAGGGTCTGTGTATAAAAATGGTTGCAGTTCCTAAATTTGTACTTGATATTTATGTTCAACCCCTTGAATTAAAGCTGAAAGTCTGCACTTCAGATTCATTTGGATTGTTTTGTTTTAATTTATTCTGGTGGCATACAGAGCCAAAAGTATGAAAATTGTGCCTGTGTCCAAATATATATGGACCTAACTGTACCAGAAAAGGTGTTTGGAGCAATTCTGATCCCTGGTTATCTCTATGGTCATCCGGCGGAAGCACCGGCTGGTCGTTTGGGTCTCCTGGTGGGATGGGAGAGCCCAAAAAAGCCAGGGGACGTCTCCTCCCACTGCTTGAAAAAGTAGTCCAGCGGCTAATTAGCCGCTAGGGTTGCTTTTACGAGAACGCTGAACATCAGCTCTAAGAAACAATACCGTTATGATGCCTGCAGCATCCCGAGTACAGGTAGGCCTGCTTGCCTTATAGGAACGGGGGCTGCTATAGGTGAAGAACACAGAGCCAGGGTTAGTGACCATCAATGCTAGGGATAGGCATGACAGTACAAATTATCAGCACCAAACCCCTTAGAAGCTTCCTATTCCTGCCACTGCCATCTCCTACAGCTCTGTTGCTCATATCAACAGAATCAGGAGTCACTGTTCTGCATAATACCCTTCTGTAGAGTGTCAGTGCCATTATCCTCCATTGGCAGCAATTTGGCATGCTATTCAACAAACCTTGATGTCCACAGAAGCCAACTCAAAAATGCAGCATCCCAAGAATTCTTGTCTCGAATGAGCCATTGCAGCAGTGACTCATCC